CGAGGTCAAGAGATCGAGACCATCCTGGTCAACACGGTGAAACCCCGTCTCTACTAAAACTACAAAAAATCAGCTGGGCATGGTGGCGCGTGCCTGTAATCCCAGCTACTCAGGAGGCTGAGGCAGGAGAATTGCCTGAACCCAGGAGGCGGAGGTTGCGGTGAGCCGAGATCACGCCATTGCACTCCAGCCTGGGTAACAAGAGTGAAACTCCGTCTCCAAAAAAAAAAAAATTTAAAATGAGTGGGCCAGTGGCATGTATCTGTGGTCTCAGCTACTCAGGAGGCTGAGGCAGGAGGATTGCTTGAGCCACGATCAGGCCACTGCACTCCAGCCCAGGCAACAGAGCAAGACCCTGTTTCAAAACAATAAATAAATAAATAAATAAATATCCACCAATTTTTAAAAAGGGTAACACAATATGACTAAACTGGTATTTTTTCAAGAATAAGTTAATGTTAGAAAATCAATTGATGGGCAGGGCGAGGTGGTTCATGCCTGTAATCCCAGCACTTCGGGAGGCCGAGGTGGGGGCATGAAGAGGTCAGGAGTTCAAGACCAGCCTGAACAATATGGTGAAATCCCATCTCTACTGAAAATACAAAAATTAGCTGAGGATGGTGGTGTGTGCCTGTAGTCCCGGCTACTCAGGAGGCTGAGGCAGGAGAATCATTTTAACCTGGGAGGCAGAGGTTGCGTGAGCCAAGATTGTGCCACTACACTCCAGCCTGGGCACAGAGCAAGACTCCATCTCAAAAAAAATATGTATCAATTTATGGAATTTACCACACTAACAATGAAATGACAAAAATTATATAATGTTCTTAATAAGAGTATTTGATTATATTCAATATCCATTTATAACAGTTTCTTTAAAAAGCCTTTGCAGCCATGAATAGGATGGGGCCTTTTAACTACATAAAGGGCATCCACAAAAAGTTGCAGCAAACATCATCCTTGATGGTAAAACACTGGAGACCTTCCTTAAGGTCAGAGCAGAACAAGGTATCCACACAATTATCCATATTCAACACTGCATTGTGACAATCGGTGCAGCCAGGCAAGAAAAAGAAATAAAAGTATGAGGACTGAAAAGAAACAACTTTGTCTCTTGCAAAAGATAAAACACACACTTAGAAAATGCAAAATAATCTATAGTAAGTTACTAGGTTAAAAACGGTAAAATCACTGATTTCAAAAATCAACTGAATTTCTATATATTAGCAACAAACATAATAAAAAGCTGACTTTTACCAACGACTTCTAAAATACAAGCATCTAGGAATAAATCTAACAAAAGATATGCATGACAGCAGAATCTTGTAAAGCTCTCAAAATACATTAAAGACCCAAGTAGAGAGATAGCTTGTTCATGAATTAGAAGACTCAGTACCATACAAATGTGAATTCTCCCCAACCTGCTCTACAGAGTCAGAGAACTTCCAATTATAAACTGAACGTGGCTTTGTGTGAAACTAAAAGATAATTCCAGACCATGCATGGGGGTTTGTGCCTGTACTCCTAGCCCTTTGGGAGACTGAGATGGGAGGATCTTTTGAAGCCAGGAGTTGGAGATCAGCCTGGGCAACATAGTGAGACCCTGCCTCTACAAAAAAAATTTTTTTAATTAGACAGGCATGGTGGGGCACAGCTTTAGTCCCAGCTGCTCAGGAAGCTGATGCTGAAGGATTGCTTGAGCCCAGGATTTAGAGGTTACAATGAGCTATGATTGAGCCACTGCACCCCAGTCTGGGACACAAAGTGAGGTTCTGTCTCTAAAAAACAAAAAGATGGCCAGGTGCAGTGGCTCACACCTATAATCTCAATACTTTGGGAGGCCAAGGTGGGAGGATCATTTGAGCCCAGGAGTTCAAGACCAGTCTGGGCAACATAGGAAGACCTTGTCTCTACTAAAATAAATAAATAAATTAATTAATTAAAATAAAAACAAATTAATAAACATCAACAGAAAAGACAATGGAGTGGGAAGAGCAAGGTACAAAGCTGCCCAGCCCCTGCTGAAGAGTGGGTGGGGGCACTCAGGGACATGGGCACCAGGAAGATGCTCTGGGAACCTGGCTGACGGAGGCCACAGATGGGCACTGTCGCATACCCCACGGTCCACCTAGGAGCACCATTTCTAACAGCGCCGAGCCAAAGGTGCCACAAGGAACACAGCGCACAGGCCTCCCCAACAATAGCCCAGCGTGCCCCGGTACAAGCTCACGGGGACAGACTTCTCCAGCTGCCTCCCAGAACTAAAACGAGACCAGCACCGCAGCCAGGCAAATGGTCAGTGTGCACACTCCGCCAGGCCGACACGGCAGTGCACCGAAAGGACCGAAAGGCTGCTCAGAGAGCAGATAGACGCTCAGAATTGGACTGGGACGTTTTCAACAGTTAGCCAAGAAAGGATGACTATCCCTAGAGAAACTGCTGAAACTCATCAAGCAGAATAAAAGAGAAAGAAAACTGGCAAAAGAACAGGAATTTCACTGACAAGGAAGTACAAATGGCCTAAATTAGTAATCAGAGAAATTCAAGTTACAACTACGATACCATTTCACACCCACCAGACTGGCAAAAATTAAAAAGTCAGATGTTGGCACAAATATGAAGCAGTGGGGACTCTGGTCCCTGTCAGTGGGGGCCGGAACAGGCACAACCACTCTGGAAAACTGCCAGCAGTAACACTGAGCGCATGCACACTCCCACCCTAATCCTGCTAGCTGGCAGCACATGCTTAAGACAGGCCCTGACCATCCAGAGAGTCACAGGCAGAAGACAGGCACAAGGATGTCCACAGCAGCACGTGGCTTGTAGTTAGCCAAAAAACTGGAAACAAGCCATGGTCCCTTGACAGAATCAGAGCCGAGCTGCTATCATGCCAGGGAATAGTATGAAGCAGGGAACACACTGGAAGCCATCAGCACAGACGCAGCCCAGAAACTTAATGGCTGGGCAAAGTGAGGAGTACAAAAGAGCAGAGGAGGAATGAAATCCTTTATGTAGAGTCCCCAAATAAGCAAAACTAATTAACAGACTGAGGGTGCATGAACAGGCAGAGCAGGCACAAAGAAAAGCTGGGGGCAAGCCCACCACGTGGGGCTGTGCTCCAGGACAGGGAAGGGCAGGAGCTCATCATGAGGCTGAGCCTGTTCTACGAACAAACTGCGTCTTCCCACCCTAACAGCTTCGCCAGCCGCCCCTCCGCCCATCAACTAACTCCACACCCACAGAACAAGTCCTGTCCTCCTACCTACCCTTCCCCCCAGCCCTGTCCAGGCCAGAGCCCAAGACCCCTAGCACTTAGTGCTGCCCAGCCCAGGTGCCCCGATCCTACCCCCACCTGCCCTACCCATGCCCTCCTCACAGACACCAGAGAGGGCTTTCTAGACCCATCGAGAATAGACGACAGCTCTACAGTGGGGCTGATAAGGCCCCCACCTCCCTTGGGTTAAAGACTTCACTGCTCATTTGGAGAGCCCCAGGAAGCCGCTGTGGAGACTCAGCAAGGGCGGGCTGTGTGCTGCACTGCTGGGGCAGGGGAGGGCCCACAGCCAATAGAAGGTCCTGGGGCTGTGGGTGAGGCAGTGACTCAGAGGGACAGAGAGGAGACAGGCTGTGGGGCTGTGAGACCTGACACTAGGGCAATCGCCAAGGCCTGGAAGAGAGAGGCAGCCAGGCCCGGGAAGATGCTCCTGGCTTTGGCTTTGCGGCCCCAGATACTTCCCAGAAGAGGGGCAAGTAGGCACATCTGCAGTGCTCAGCCCTAGACTTTGGGCCAATGCTGACCCTTAGGTCTCACATGGACACTGGGTCCCTCGGGAGGCCCTGTCAGGTGCAAGAGTCCTGTGGGGTGGGCATCCTTCCTATCCACTCAGCAAAACCAATGCCCTGAGATCCCAGCCCTGCAGTCCAGGAGGGCAACTCTAACACCACCCTCGGAAATGCAGTTTGTGGGAGCCACGGCAGAGCACCAGAGGCACTTGCAGCAGACTAGCTAGCGGTGGAACAACTCAATGCCACGTGGGCCTCCCCCAAGGCACACTGGCCACTTCCAGTGCCTGGAAGGTCCACTCACCCTCCCATCTCCCCAGGGAGAGCTCTCACCATCCCCACCTGCCTCCTCTTCCAGCCTGCTGTCTACTCTAGAACCAGAACTTTTCCGGAGAGTGTGACTCTGTCCTCCTTAGCCTTGGAGCTTCCTGAGCAGGAACTACCAAGTCACGAAGAAATCACACAAGTTTCCAACTGAGCGGGAGAAACAGGGAGCCGACAAGTCCAAAGAAAGCTGGGCTATGGCCGGAGGGTAAACCCTGTCCAGTCGTTACCGCTGGGCGACGGGGCGCCCCCCTACCAAGTGCAGAGCAGCCAGCCTTCACGCAAGGGCAAGATCAACAGGGGGGCGCAAAGGGCAGTACTGAATTGGCGACGTCTCCATATGAGGGACAGCTCCAACCAGGTACCGGCGAGGACGACCCCGCCCCGCAGGACGAGGCATCTCCACCGCGCGCTGCACGGGCCGTACAACCGAGACCTGCGCGCCCAGTGCGCAGGGGCTGGCTCCCAGGCTGGGGTCTGACAGTGTCGCCGGACGCGAAAGGAAGCGTGTGGTACCCGGGAGAGGAAGCGCCCTCGTGGCCCCGGCTGGCGCTGCACTGAGGCAGGTGTGCAGGTGCGGCTGCGGCAAGCCAGGTGAGCGCCGCCCGGGAGCCCCGAGGTCCCGCTGGGCCTGAGCACCACAGGGTCCTCGGAAGCTGAGCGCGGCCCCCGGCTCGGGCGCTTGGGACCTGGGGGGCCCGGGCCGCGCTTGCTGGCGCTGCGGGGGGCGGCGGCTGCGCGCGTCCGGCCAGCGGGCTGGCGGGGGCGCGGGCGGGGCCGTAGGGGGCGGCGGTGGCTCCGCTGGGCGGCCCGGGCCGGGGGGGCGCGCGGAGGCCGCGGCCCGGACACCCCCGGCAGGTGCCGGGCGGGAACAAAGCGCGGCAGGCGGCGCGTACCTGGGCACGCAGCTGGGGCTGGAGCCGTCCACCTCCCAGGTGGCGAACAGGTTCATGGGCACGGGCGTGTTGAGCGCGCCGGGCGCGCCGGGGAGGCCGAGGCGGCCTCGCTCGGCCATGGCGCCGGCCCCGCCGCTCCCTCGGCGGCCTGGGGCTGCGGCCGGGCCGCGGACGCGCGGCGGGCGGGCGGGGCGCGCGGAGGGCGGCGGCGCGGTCACATGGCTGCCGGGCGGCGGAGGGGACGGGCCGGGCCCGGGCGTCGGACAGGCCCGCGGGCGGCGACGAGCTGCGGCCGCTCCGCCCCGCCCCGCCCGGCGCCCCGCCCGCGCCCCGCGCGCCCCCGGTCGCCCAGCGCGCGCGCCCTGCGCCCTCCGACCCGCGCCGAGGCCGCCGATTGGCTGGGCGAGGCGCGAGCTCGCCGCCTTGGGCCCAATCGCCGCCGGCGCAGCGCTCGCCGGAAGTGAGGTGCGCGCGCGCTTCCTCCTGCGGCGCCTGGCGCGCGGGAGCGCGCACTCGCGCGCCTGCGCACAGGCCCCGCCCGGCGCGCCCCGCCCCACCCCCCGGGAGCAGCGGGCAGGGGCCCAGAGAGACGCGGGAGTCCACCGGGTCCCGGCCAGCCTCGGGCGCCGCCCCCGACCCCCGGGCAGCCCCGCGCCGCCCCCTAAGGGACACTCATCGTCTCCCTGGCGATGCCCGCCTCCCCACGTGCAGAATCCCGGGCCTCGACGCTTTCCCGCCTGCACCCCGAGTCTCCCCGCCCCGCTGCCCCCGGCACCCCCGGTCCCCTGCCGACCCCCGCTGGGTGGGCGCCGCTGTGCTGTCCCCGCCGGTCCCCGAGCCCCTCCCCCGCGCCGTTTTCCGGGGATGCCGGGAGGTGGCCGGGCCTGGCGGGCGTCCGCAGGGGCGCCAGGCTCCCGAGCTCAGCCCCCAGGGCCCCCAGATGCCCCCGGCGCCGTCTTCGCGTCCGAGCCTCCTTGGTCAGCGTCGCTGTTGAGAGTTTTACTCAGGACAGTGGAGAACAAGAGTCTGGGGCCAAGGCCAGCTCCCGGCCCTGGGGTTCGCAGTGAACTCGGTGACCCAAGCAAAGAGGAGGCAGTAGCTACAGCCGCCGGGCCCGACGTCCAGGCTCCGGTGCTCAGGGAGGGTGCCTCCCCCATCTGTTTGGCAGTGGCTGTGGTCACAGGCAACAAACAGATGCTGCGCCAGGATTTAGGAAACGCTTTTCTGGGACCTCTCTGTTTCCTTGTTTCACAGTTAGTTTACACAATTGATTTCTCTCCGCCTCGTGTCTTGTCTGCAACTAGTTTTACTGAAACAGACCACGCCCGAGCAAATTGACTTGGAGCTGGTCTCTTCCCTGGCCCACAGGGCTTGCCACCCCAGTGCCCGGTCAGCTCCTTCTGCAACGGCCCTCATGGCAATGCTTCCTCCCTTGAGAGAGCTCAGCCTCCAGCTGTAACTCCTGTATCTAGAGCTACAAACAGCTGCGACTGCTTAAAGCCAGGGTCCCACTTCGGAGAGAACAAGGGAATCTGTGTTTCCCGCATGCTCCCGCCTCCTGGGGTAGTATGCTGAGAGCCATGAGGGTCTGTCTGACCTTGGCCAGCTGACTGGGGTATTGTCTTACATGGCTGGTCTGTGGGCTGAGGGCTTGTGGATCTCACACCTTTGAGACAGGGTAGGTGTAGAAGTGACCGTGTCCAGAGAGGGGGCAGCCGTACCCCATGAGGACAGGAGACAGATACCCATTGACCCCAGAACTGGGTGTACAGAGCTGCTGGAGCTGGCGACTGTGCAGTTGTAGTCAGACGGATGGGCCGCCTGACACATCGTGCCTGTGTGCGCCGACATCTAACTCAGGCGGGGAGTGTGACGGGGGGTCAAGTGAGGAGACGCGGGGTGACGACGCCGTGCACAGTGGAGCCTGGCACCAGCTGCCACCATTGAGCTTCGCCCCTCCTCTGTGCCAGGCACCGTTGTGAGCCCTTAATGGACATGACAGCTCTGTCCCATCCCAAGTGACAGAAGAGGAGAGGGTGGCCTGTGAGGTTTTGCAGCTGCCAGGGGTCAGGATGTGACCCACACATTCTGTACCAGAGTGGCCCCAAGTACCCGTACAGTGGGTCTGCATAAATGCTTCTGCCAGGCAGGAAGGCGGGGGCGCGAAACACACCGTGCATCAGGCGTGCGACTCCATTTACATGTGTTGTTCTTAAGGTGGGATGGCGGTGACGAGACTGGTCTTCTGTATTTTCCAAGTGGACAGATGTCCCTTGGGTGATCAGAGTCTCTTTTAGCCAGAACCCGTTACTTGCAGTGCCCTCCTCTATTGTAAGACGATGCTGTGCTGGTGCTTCTCTGTGGGCTGTGGGTCACAGGAGGAGATCCCTGAAGGCTGGGGAGCGCCCTCCCCGTGACCCCATGTACCTGGCATGGTGTGAGCACGCCCCCATGTTTGGAGCACAAGTGCTTTTTCTGGTAACTTTTTCTTTAAAGGAGGAGCTTAGTTTGATAGAAACCTCTCTGGGTGACTGGGGCTGCTGGGCACAGTTGGGAAGGAGGTCCCAGAAGAGGGTCCTTCAGCGCCCTGGGGTCTCAGGAGGATACCTGAAAGCCACTGCTGAGGTCCTACCACGTGCTGCCCAGGGGCCCGCGGAGGTTGTGGGGGTTATGATTATTTAATAAGTTAAAGCCTCGAGGTTCCAAACGCTTGGATAGGACTCCAGTGGTATTAAAAAGAGGAAGCCCCAACCCCCGGCCATGGGACAGGATGGGCTGAGGCCTTTCCTCCATCCACCAGACTTCACTAGGACCCTCCACCTGGGGTGAAGGCTTGGGGGTTTCCAGTCGGGCACCAGGACCACAGGCTCCTTGGAAAGGCATTCATCTCCTCAGCCTGGGCTGAGATGACACAGACACACAGGAGGCCCTGCCTGTCAAGGAGTGGGTGAGGGCCCAATCAGGCAAGTGGCAGGGGCCTTCTCCAGGGCCAGCACTGGGCCGTTGGTGGCTCCAGCCCATAGCGCCCTGCTCTTCTCGTCAGGAGCCGGGCTGAGGAAGCAGCCCTGGGCGTCCAGGCCCCTGCCCAGTCCATGCTGTGGCAGAGGGACAAAGCTGCCGAACCCCTAGACGGGCCCTGCCGAGTCCACTCCAGTGGCTGGAGCACGTGGCCATCCCTGAGGCTGAGGAGGAAACGTCACACAGAAGGTACAGCAGGGCCTTCCTCCTGGAGGCACTTTCTGGGGAGCTGTGTGGGGGATGGTGAGGAGCTCTCAGACTGCTGAGATCACTGCTGAGATTGAGACCTGGAATCAACCCCAGGGTTGTAGAGTAGAACAGGGTTAGGTGAGCCGTGATAGAACCTGAGGATCTTCTACAGCTGGCAGAAATAGTGAATTAAAAGTAGCTGAGGCCGGGCATGGTGGCTCACACCTGTAATCCCAGTGCTTTGGGAGGCTGAGGTGGGCAGATCACAAGGTCAGGGGATCAAGACCAGCCTAGCTAACATGATGAAACCCTATCTCTATTAAAAATACAAAAAATTAGTCAGGCATGGTGGCATGTGCCTGTAATCCCAGCTACTCAGGAGGCTGAGGCAGGAGAATTGCTTCAGCCCGGGAGGCAGAGGTTGCCAGTGATCCGAGATTGCACCACTGCACTCCAGCCTGGGTGACAGAGCAAGACTCCATCTCAAAGAAAAAAAAAGTAACTGAAAACAGGCCAGGCACAGGGGCTCCCAGCACTTTGGGAGGCCAAAGCTTACAGATCCGTTGAGCTCAGGAGTTCAAGACCAGTCTGGGCAACATGGCAAAGCCCCATCTCTAACAAAAATACAAAAACATAGCTGGACATGGTGATACGTGTCTGTGATTACAACAACTTGGGAGGCTGAGGTGGAAGAATCACTTGAACCCAGGAGGTGGTGGTTGCAGTGAACCAGGATCACACCACTGCACTCCAGCCTGAGCAATAGAGCCAGACTCCATCTCAAAAAAAAGAAAAAAGGCCAGGCGTGGTGGCTCACGCTGTAATCCCAACACTTTGGGAGGCTGAGGTGGGCGGATCACCTGATGTCAGGAGTTCGAGACCAGCCAGGCCAAGAAACATGGTGAAACCCTGTCTCTACTAAAAATACAAAAAATTAGCCAGACGTGGTGGTGGGCACCTATAATCCCAGCTACTCTTTTTTTTTTTTTTTTTTTNGCAGTGTTGCCCAGGCTGTAGTGCAGTGATGCGATCTCAGCTCACCGCAATCTCTGCCTCCTGGGTTCAAGCAATTCTCCTGCCTCAGCCTCCCGAGTAGCTGGGACTACAGGCGTGCGCCACCACACCAGCTAATTTTTTTGTATTTTTAGTAGAGATGGGGTTTCACCATGTTGGTCAGGATGGCCTCGATCTCCTGACCTCGCGATCCGCCTGCCTCGGCCTCCCAAAGTGCTAGGATTACAGATGTGAGCCACTGTGCCTGGCCAATCCCAGCTACTCTTGAGACTGAGGCAGGAGAATTGCTTGAACCCAGGAGGCAGAGGTTGCATTGAGCCAAGATTGTGCCACTGCACTCCAGCCTGGGCAACGATAACAAACCTCTGTCTCAAAAAAGGAAAATTTGTGTGAAAATGCACATCCATGTAAATATATATTTACATGTTCATGATTATACATGTAAAACATCTATTTTCAGGTATAGAAAAATATTGACAGGATATATATTAATCCAAAGTGTGGACTAATCAAGGGATTCCTTGATTTGGTTTCTCCTTTTTGCTTATCTTATCTCCTATTTTCTCCAGGATGAACACGTGTTAATTGTGTAGGGAAAATCAAACCACAGCAGGGCAAGCTGCCACCGGCTGGAGAGTTGGGTGCCATCTGACTGGGGCTGCACCCTGTCCCAAAAAACCAAATGTACAAAGGGAACCCTCACCCCACGCAACAAACTGAGGATGACTTTTGTAAGAATACTGACGGTTTCACTAGGGTAGCATTCTTAATGTCAAAGGGAATCATACAAGTCCGTAAGACCATTTAAAAGATCCAGTGGAAAATGGTTAGAGAAGCTACAGAAGATTCACTAAAGGATAAGTGAGACAGCTGTCACTACTATGAGGAATTGTAAGTTATAAAGAGATGCATCAGTCCGGGTGCGGTGGCTCATGCCTGTAATCCCAGCACTTTGGGAGGCCAAGGCAGGCGGACCACAGGGTCGGGAGATCAAGACCATCCTGGCTAACATGGTGAAAACCCGCCTTTACTAAAAATACAAAAATTACCTGGGTATCGTGGCGCATGCCTATAATCCTAACTACTCAGAAGGCTGAGTAAGGAGAATCACTTGAACCCAGGAGGCAGAGGTTGCAGTGAGCTAAGATTGCGCCACTGCCCTCCACCCCGGGCGATGGAGCCGGAGTCTGTTTAAAAAAAAAAAAAAAAAAAAAAAAACGCACACATCACTTTCTTCTTAATGCCGGCTAATCTAGATCTAACACAGACCTAGGGTCGTGATGACATCCTCAGTGTCCTCCATGCTGCTCCCGTCCTGAGTTGGAACCAGATGCCGCAGCTCCCTCACCCAGCACCTGGGGCAGGACCTGGAGCAGC